AGGGTTTAAGGTAAATGGTCCAAAAGTGAATTTTGCGAGACAGATGGACAAATCAATGTTAACTAAAATGGCTGAAAATAAATAAATGGATATAATTTTTCGCTGATTTTTCGTAACAAAATTATTTCATACATCTACTCTTTACTTTGCAATGGATTTCTACAATGTAGGACACTTGAAATTATTTGTAAAGCTAGGAAATGGGTCAAAAGTGAATTTCGCGAGACAAAAATGGCGGCCATTTTGAAAATAGGCGAGCTTTTGAACCAGGAGTCATAGTGGAGTTTTCTGAATTCATGTTGAACAGAAATAACTTAAAACAGGAATCCTATCGACAGAGGTTTTAAAACGTGCCACTGTTATTGACAGAAAGTGGATTTCGCGAGTCAGATAGAAAAAGCAATGTTAACTAAAATGGCTGAAAATAAAAAAATGGATACAATTTTTCGCTGATCTTTTTGTAACAAAATTATTTCATATATCTAATCTTTACATTGACATGGATTTTTACAATGTAGGACACCTGAAATTATTTGTAAAGCTAGGAAATAGGCCAAAAGTGAATTTCGCGAGACAAAAGTGACAGCCATTTTGAAAATAGGCGAGCTTTTGAACCAGGAGTCATAGGGGGGTTTTCTGTATTGATGTTGAACAGAAATAACTTAAAACAGGAATCCTATCGACAGAGGTTAGCTAGGAAATGGGCTAAAAGTGAATTTCGCGAGACAAAAGTGACGGCCATTTTGAAAATAGGCGAGCTTTTGAACCAGGAGTCATAGGGGGGTTTTCTGTATTGATGTTGAACAGAAATAACTTAAACCAGGAATCCTATCGACAGAGGTTTTAAAACGTGCCACTATTGTTGACGGACGGACGGACGGACAGACGGACGGACGGACGGACGGACAGACAGACGGACAAGTGAGTGATTGCAAAAGCTCACCATGTGAGCTAACAACCTCATATTAGGATATGTGTAACTACTAGACCAATTGCATACCATAATTGTAATATAACATATTTTCCGTGACCATTCTCATACCAGAAAGTTGAAAAATCTGACCATTTCCATCCCTAAAAAGTCATAATGAGGGGGCAGTCTCAAACCACATCCTAAAATTTGGGTCCATTGCCATACCAAATGTCAAAAAAGGTACCCAATGTGCGCCGAGGATCCCTGTCAAGGTTTATATATTTAAATATAATATATAATAAATTTCGGTTTTCAGTCAGGGGGCCTTTACTATAAAGCATTATTATATGATAGCATATGAAAGTCTGTCAATTTTTAAACCTTGATTTTGTTCCTTATTACCATATTCCAGATACTTCGATTTCATATGCCAAAAATAAACAGGCTTTAATATGTGATTCAAAGGGGTTTGAGTTTCCAAACTTATAATGGGAAGTGTTATCATTCATAAACATAAACCATAACTACATGAACAACATAAGGAAAGAATGTCACCTGAAATATAATTTTGAAAAATCTTATTAGTACACATACATGTATTTCCAATTGCTGACCACACATACTCTAAACGGTTTGATTGGGTATGGCAATGATAAACTGTAAAAAATATAAAATGGCAGATAATGAATATGCTTAGCATATTATGATGTCACATATAGTGTTTAGATTTATTTAGAAAAAACAAATTTTGCTATAATGATACACATTTTCTATTTGACCCCAGCAACAAGTTCAACAACTGAAGCATAAGGTGCCACGCCCCCTTTCTTGAATTTTTAGAGGATGGTAAAGAGAAAAATCTGAAAAAATAGATGAATGCACTTTTTATTGAAACTTATGCAAGAAATATTTGCTAACATCATCAGTGAAGTTTCTAATTAGGTTTTATATACTATAGCCCCTTACTGTTTTTAAATGAATAATTAACTATCGACTAATTAAGAAATTTTGAAGAGAAATTATGTACTTCAAGGGACAAATTATCCCATATCTCTACCAAATCTTGTTGGATAAGACCCAAACTTTCAGGAAATCTTCACACATGCCTTATTGATATATTAAAAATGTTTCATTATAATTGCAACATCCTCAAATGAGATATTAAATAGTTTCAAGCATATGGTCAAACTCGGACTCGAAAATGATAAAATTTGCTGACACAGCACTTTTGAGCCTGCTTTGCAAGGGTTCACAAACTTTTTTTCATGCCTTGGGATCTAAAGTCAAATTGAATCTAGGTGTTTTGGACACAAATTGCCTTGGCCATAGTACAGGGATTTTAAATGATCAATTGTTAGAATTAAAAAACAATTGAAAATTATCTCAATAACATGTTTTCAATATTTCTCATGTTTAGTTACACTTGTAAAACAATGGTTTTACCAAAAATAAATACCGTTATCGCCATATTTAGGGCCCACCCCTAATAAGTGCCCACCCCGCTTCCTAGAGTTAAAAAAATAACGAGGAATGATCAAGTATTAATGAATAAATCAGAAAAATCAAATTTCTAAAGAAATATAGTGGGCGGTAATAGAGTACTTACGTATACACTATATAATACAGAAAACATGATGTATTTTATAAATCGATGCATCCTCCCGGTCGTGAACTTTCTTGGTTTTTTTTAAGATTTCTCGACTTTTACATGACTTTTACACGAAATATGAAGATCTGTCATCAAATTAAAACAACAAGGTATAACTTTAGATCACTATCTATAACAGTCTATAGTGGAAATATTGAAGATAATCGTGGAAAACAATGCCTTCACCTCAAGGGGCTCTGCTGGGGAGTTCTTCAATCACTGTCAATATAGTTAGATTCTTGCTTTATTTTAGCGAATTTTACCGTATTCTCTCCAATAACGATACATATCATTATTGTAAAAATATGCTGTTACTTTCGTTGCAAATAAGGCTTTGGCAAGAATTCCCATACATGAAATTCACAGGGATTTTTTCTGATGGGCGCTCTTTGTAATGGGTTACATTGGGAATTTCAATTTCAAAAGCGCCCAGGGCCCTTATTAGGGCGAATACGGTATGGCTCACAGATATGCTCAGAATGTACCTGAGAGTCTTAATTTCAATTTTTCTTCAGGGGGCATACCCTATTCCCCCAACAAGGAGCCCCGCCCCCTTGACGTTTTGCATGACGTGTTGATGGCACAACCAGTCTGTATGCAAGTCACTCCCCTCTTGGGAAATCCTTCAGACAGGCCTTACAACTTATTTTAATACTTCCTACATACATGTAGATTCATGATAGAATAAATTCTATCTTTTTAAAACAGATATTAAAACTTCCTTATTGTATATGACTAATCTATGATCAAAGATGATATTACTTTACTCTGATTTACCCCAGACCTAGTAATAAAAAAAACCAGATAACTTTAAAGATAAACCTCCATATTCAAGGCTAAAAAACATGAATAAGTGTAACAATACAAAGGTGTAAGCACTAATAATCTTAAGGATAATTGTACCATTAATCAAGGATAACGCATACTAAGGACCTAATAAGAATGATAATAAGCCAGGTATTGCAAGTTATTCTGAATGATTTTGTCTTGTGAGATTGGTAAAACATTGTTGTTAATTTCTAAACTATGAATACCACTTACCATATTCTCTGTAATAAGCGCCCACTCTCTAATAAGCGCAAAGTTCAAGAAACATCGAGGAATCAACAAGAATTGAAGAATACATGTATATCAGGAAAAAAATATTTCTCAAAATCCAGGAGCGGGCGATAATAGAGTACTTACCCTAAAACTGCTGTAAACACGACGCGTTTTGTAATTCTATGCATCCTCTCGATACATATCTATCGATGGGTGCATCCCACACCATACCATGCTAATATTGTCTCCAAATAGTCATATAGTTATAAAAATATGTTGAAGAAAATGCATTCTTGTCAAGAAAAATTGCCATACATGAAATTCCTTGGGATTTCTGATTTCTTTCATACATGGGCACTTATTAGAATGGTCTAAATAATGTATTTTCAATTTTCTAAACGCCCTGGGCGCTAATTACAGAGAATACGGTACTAACTTAACCATCATATTACATTTTTGCTTCAGTTTGTGATTCTTAAGTTCCAAATAATCCGAGATCTATAAAGAAAACGATCCAAAACAACCTCAAATATGTGAAACTACTAGACTAATACCACACCACAAGTGTGAGGTACATTATTATCCACGACCATTCTAATACCAAAAAGTAGAAAAATCTGGCCATTGCCAAACCTCGAAAGTCATAATTTTGGGGGATTTTCATACCAAATCCTAAAATTTGGGTCCAATGCCATACCAAATGTCAAAAAAAAGTACCCCATGTGCGCCGAGGATCCCTGTCAAGGTTTATATACAGTGAACCCAGGTCATACAATTAAGTCTTTTAAGATGAACACATTACTTGTAGAAATACATTTGATGCTATGAATTCTTATAGGATACAAGTCTTTTCACACTTTATTTGTAGAAATACATTTGTTTTACTTGCATTATAATAAAAACATTCAAATGTGAAGACTTTATTGCCTCAATTTTGTAAAATGAAGCCTGTCTTTATTTGGACCTTTCACTCATAGATGTACACAGTGATATCACATTTAGAAAGGTGTGTGAGTCTAAACATTGCACATGCACATTATTTATCAACTTAGCCCTTAATATTTGTAGGTGAATGTCTGGAGAGATAGACCTGAAGGTTCTAGTGACTATCCAATAGCATCAACATCTGCATCTACTGAACCAAGTACTGCATCCACTGAAGCAAATACTGCATCCACTGAACCAAGTAATACATCAACTGTGCAAAGTACTGCATCTACTGAACCAAGTACTGCATCCACTGAAGCAAATACTGCATCCACTGAACCAAGTAATACATCAACTGTACAAAGTACTGCATCTACTGAACCAAGTACTGCATCCACTGAACCAAGTAATACATCAACTGTGCAAAGTACTGCATCTACTGAACCAAGTACTGCATCCACTGAAACAAATACTGCATCCACTGAACCAAGAAATACATCAACTGTGCAAAGTACTGCATCTACTGAAACGAGTACTGCATCCACTGAAGCAAGTACAATGTCTACAGAATCTCCCACAACTGGATCTTCATCACTTTGCCACCAACTCAACTACTATGTTCAAGCTGCATTTGCATTTGAAAAGTTTTTAGTTGTGATTCATGAAGATCAACGATTTCTGTACCCTGATGGAGACTTGACATCAACCCCTACTATTGGTACCCCTATGGGGCAGATATACACAGAGATGGGGGGTGAGGTTCAGGCGGCATTCTCTAACTCAACAGCTGGATATTATCTCATGAATGGTAATATTATATTCTACCCTGATGTCAGAGTGATCAACTTTACCCAACAGATTTTAAATAATCATACCCTCTGTAAAGAAAAAAGGTGCATGGTCCTTTATCAGTCGTAACTTTTTCAAAATTTTGCATAATTTAACTAAACTCTTGGAGGCACATGGCATACATATTTTGAATAACTGGTGGACATTTTAAAAAATTAGATGAAAATTTAAAAAAGTTAGCAATGGTCAAAAAAATTAAAAACATTGTCTCACAAATTCACTAATGTGACTTTTTCATTTAAATTAAGTCATAAATTACAATTTGCTATTATACAGTCTAATACATTTTCCTATAAGCCTAGGACATCATTCTCTATATGTTATATTCTTCATACCATTGTAAAGCCCATTCCAAACTGGTCATGGGTTTGAAATAAGCATTGACACACTGACAGAAAATTTTGGAAGTGCCAAAACCCATCCAAACATGATTTTTAGACAATTTAACGCCTTAAATAGCAAAGAAATTAGGGATAGAATGTAACCTTTTTGCTCAATAAACACATTTATGTATCAAATCTGACATAAATTTTGGTATGCATAAGCTAAGTATAGGATGTGTAACATATTTATGGGTTATGAGAAAGATTAAAGATTATAATTATCTTATAATTTCAAATTTATTGTAATATATGTTACCCCTACCCCTCATTTTGATCTGAGAAGAGACCTCTGAATCTGAAGGATATTACCTCAAATTCTATCACAAAATAGTTGTAATTAATCAGACTTTCATTCTATAACTGATATTTTTCACAAAGTTTTATTGAATTCAAGACTTTTAAAATGGTGTATTCCTCTAAATGTAACTAACAATTTAATTTCATCTCTCAGAAGATCCCCTTCTTGCACACATTGCTTGGTAAAGGATTTCTCAAGGGATTGGTATCGATATGGAGAACTGTATTCAACAATGTTTTTCTCTTAAACCAATCATTGAAAACATTCTGTAAAAAAAACACGGTATTTTATGTAATGTTGACTGACTGACAAAAATTTAATGCAAAAATTATTTAGAAATATTTTATATAGCCCAGTCAATAATGGGTCGATAGTTCACGATCATATATATTCTTAGATTTCCGGCACATAGACTAATGTGGACATTCTAAAAATTTTGATTTGCATTGCCAAGCACGAATCGCACTCCTTCATGGTGAAAATTCAAGATGGCCGCCAAAATTGTCGACAATTATATAGTATTCATTTGATAATTTTTTTCATTCCCTTATCTCAATAAAATGTGGTTAGTTCGTGTTTTCCAATATCAATTGATAATTTTTTTACCCTGAAAAATATCTAAATTATCTAAAAAGATTTTGGTAGTTCAGTACCACCCATTGTTAAGATCTCGTCAAAATTTTCGATAAATCAATAAAATATGTACATTTCATATATATATATATAGTGCCTATCATATCTCTATCCTTTTTTCATGAGAATACATTAGGTTTGTATGTTTAAATAGAAACTGATTCCTTTCCATCAATATTTAGATAAACACACAATGAAGAATGTCTCCCATAGCGCCACCTATTGGTGAAATTGTTCAAAATCAAAACTGTGTTTTATGATATATTGAACTGTTAAAGTAAGCGTGTAAGGGTTTGGAGAGCCAAGATTTGATCTGTATCATGTACCATGCATAATAAAAACTATAGTATTATTTTACAGTAGAATGCCAACTCTAAGATGTCAACCATATAAATTTGGGGGGGGGGTAAATAGGGGGTATCTTGCAGTTTATATAGTATTGTCATATTTGAACCCTTACCGTATTATCTCTATTAAACGCACAGTGCGCTTAGCAAATTCCCGTGGGGAGAGGTTTCAAGCAGCTAAATCCCCTGAAATTCTAAAAAATTATGATGGTGGACGATAATGGGTGAAAATTTACTTCTATACCTTAAATCGATCAAATATAGTAGATATGTGCGTTTATTAGAGAGAATATGCTATGTTATGTTTTTACCTTGAATTGTGAGCTCCTAGATGACAAATTTAGTATATAAATACACTATTGTGTGTTATTTACATGAACACCTGAAGAAATTTCTTACGTTGCATGATGGGAAATCGTGACGTCATGAATCATGATGCATTATTTTAACGAACGGTCTTGCGGCGGTAACTCTATCACAACACAACATGTTATTACTATGCTATCCAGGTGAGTTTGGGTCCTCAAGCATGTCAAAGTCCTCAGTATATATTGTGTATGTATTGGAGGGACGTGCTGCTGATATAAAAAAATTGGAATCGCTTCTGAAATCGACACAATAAACCGGAAGGTAAAAATACTCTATTATCGCCCACAATGTTTTTTTATTAGAACTTCGTCAGATCTCAATATTATCTGGACAGGACTTTCTAACCTGGGACAAAAAGTCGGGTGTGCGTTTATTAGAGAGTGTGCGTTTAATAGAGATAATACGGTACTTTAGTTATTCTCATGAATACTCTCCATTACAGGCACACAAGGATGTGCATACTAGAGCAGCCTTCAAGCTGGGACATCTTGATGGGAAACACTGCTTCTGACAACTACACTTTACCAATGGTTGACTAGCATCAGTCATCTGCTTTAAGGTAGTCCTGTGTGGCTTCTGAGTGTTGTCTGTTGGCTCTGTTCTCCAGCCCCAGTTCTTTGGAGATGGAATGATACCTTGGGAATGATAGGACTTGGTTTGTTAAACTGACCCCAGATATGTACACCTTGCGCAGTGTCACATTAAGGCGTCAGCTGTTGGAAGAATGTGTTCAATAATGAAGTAGTCTTCTTTAAAAATGTATTTTTCCTTGCAGTGTTGATTGAGGTGTCATTGCTGAATCTATCATACAGCAACATAACATTAACAGTTTAAAGGATCATCTATTAGACTGAGGAGTGCATTCATCAGTTGTGAAAATGAGTTCCATCCCTCCCATGCCATAATTCTGCCCCTGCTGCCATGGAACCCAGATGTGGTATCACAACTTATCAATGAGTGGGATAATGGCAGACAGACTTTTTGAAGCCCAATGGAATTCGCCATTTCATGTGCTGCCAAGTACCTGAACTGTCTCCCCTTGTCAAATCCAACTCATATTTGTTCACTCAGAACAAATGTGTTGATTGTGTGCACATCCTCCGATCACAGGGCTTCAAAATCCAGAATATCTTCTTTCTTTTTACCCCCTGCTATAACCAAGTTGGACGCGCCCGATTAAACTGAATCAAGTGATCTAATTATGCGCCGATGACATATACATGATTGCTGTCGCAGTGTTGCGACAGCCAATCAAATTGCGAGTTCTTAATCGGGGAAATGCTAACTGCTTATAGCAGGGGGAAGAAGGAGGTACGGATTCTGGACACCTGCTTAGGAGGATGTTGTGTGCAAGGTTACTTGTCTTTGGTGGATTATTTTTGTGGATTAACACATGACATTCCGACCAAAAGTTTCGATAAGTCTTTTTCGTTCAAGAATAATTATATTGCTCACATTTGCAGCAAGGATTTGGAACAGTTCTCTCCTGTTTGACTCCAAGCACAAACAATCTTGCCAGTTTCTAGGTAGGGAATTTTCAGGATCAATAAACCTCCTTTTACTGTTTCCTTTCTTATTTCTTAAACCAGACTCTAAACTGTAGTTTCATAACTGTCCAAAACATGTCATGTGCCTTGTTGTTTTAGTAACTGTAAAGTGTCTCTTAATGAATTCACCAAGCACTGATTGGTGTGTTGCATTAAATTGGTTCATGTCATGTATATACGAACTGGTAGCCATCTTGACTAGTTGGTGTGATTGAGTATAAAAAGGCATGGCAACAACTCAGAGAGGGTATCTTTGTATAGGCTGAAGTTGACCTCTTAAAAGTTTAAGATCCATTACCATTCACCAGAACCATGGGCTTTCAACTAGAGTTGAAAGCCCATGCCAGAACTTAAAATTTGGAAGAGCCATTCAGCTGGAACTGTTTTTTCACCCAGTCACCCAACTCAAACTGAGGTTATTCATCAAGATCAAACCGCAAACAATGTGTCTCACAGGCTTTTTTGTCAAGAATATAAAGACTCCAGGCAGTAATATGATATGCTCTTCAAGTTAGAGCGAGATGGTTAACTTTGATAAAGAAATCAGCTATGCCAGCTTGAGAGAGGAAGATTGTCCATCCAGGGTTCTCTCATAGATTGCCCAAGATGTGAAGCTCCCATCTCAGTGTGCATTCCACCAAGTACCCTTATCAGCTTCGTTTTTCTCCTATCTCCTCTGGGCATTGCCCACTATTACTGCTTGAACAGTGCAAATAGGGGCTGTTCGGCAGCAAGTACAGGTGTTTGGTCTGGGTTGATATAATTTGTTGACTTTCTATACATCAACAATGAATATTAGACTATAAACTGACTTCAATATAACTAAAATGAAGAAAATTGTAATACAGTTCTGTTATACTTCAGAGTGCAGAAACACTCAGAAAATCAAGATGGGTGACATGCCTCAATATATATACCCACAAACCTTATCCCCTCTTACATACCCCCTCCCTCTTACATGTTGTTGAATCTAAGAAACACTAACATTTTTATTCCAGATAACAGTTACTAAAGAATAAGCAAATTGGGCCAGCATGAATAAAATAATAATTATTAATTTATGTTTCAGCGCAGTTTAATGCTCAAGTCTAATTTACCTATAGGTGGGGCTGCACAATTCTTCTTTATTGGTTATAATGAAATATTTTGACAGATATATGTTGAATGTCATTACTAAGCATTGATAAAATATAAACTTGTCAAATTTTATTGAAAAGAAGTAGTGAATAAAGGAATTGTTTATTATTTTGACATTAATTTTGGTATAATTTTATCAAAAGGTGGTGCTATAAAAGCATTTTCTTATGTTTATACTTAATAAAAAACTATTTGGTGGGAATATTATCTAATAATATCTGAAGACACTAATTTATCACATTTTATTGAAATAAAGGCAGAAAAAAATTATCAAAAAATATTCTTTTTTGA